ATCAATATGAAGCTCCTCAGAAAATCAAGGCAAACGTGATATGATGCAGGTCCTCGATGCCAATATTCTAAGCCACTTATCGCAGATAACTGCACATTAATGTTTATTGAAGTACCATTCACAACAGTAGATTACATATCCAACCTGGTGCAAGTCAGTAGGAATATGGATAAAGAGAATATAGCAAATATTAAAGACGAAAATTTTTCAGCCATAAAGATAAATATGGTTATGTCAACTGAAGGAAAATAAGCGGAAATAGAAATGATAATAATAATCAAATTAAGTCATTTACAGAAAGACAACCATCTCATTTCCCTTCTTTGTGGGTTCTAGACTTTATAGAGCTATATAAACCCATATGTAAATAAGACATAATGGTAGACATGAAACTATGTAAAAGAAACACGAGTGAGTGACAGAGCATGAAAGGAAAGAGTAGAATGGCATGTTGGGGAATTTGCTACAGTATATGATACATTTTCACAGAAATACCATTATATGATATAGTAGCATATATTTTAGAATAACGGGAGATTTCAATGATCTTTTATCATTAGGTTAAAGTCCCTCAAAAGTACTTTGTAACCAATTAACATCTTCAAAGCATCTTTCACATCTTTTAAAAAAGTTAACCATACATATGAGCAGGTATCAGAAGTCAAACATTCTTACAGCAGAGTTGTTTTTGTATGTTTGTTTATTTGTTTGTTTTAGTATAGAACATTTCTATTATTTTAAAATTTAATTTTATTCATATACTTATCTATTACAATTTGTTCACTTTGTATTCCTGCTGCAGCCCAGTCCCTTGTCACCTCTCTGTCCCACCCACCATCCCTCTTCTCCCTCTATGCCCTTTACCTAGGCACTGATGAGGGAGAACCTCCTCCCCTTCTATCTGACCCTAGCCTATCATGTCTCATCAGGATTGGCTACATCATCTTCTTCTGTGGCCTGGCATGGCTGCACCTGCAAGGGGGAGGTGATCAGAGGGCCTACCACTGAGTTCATGTCAGAGACACACCCTCTATCCATTACTAGGGAGCCCATTTGGAAACTGAGCAGTCAATGGGCTTCCTTTAATCAGGGGATCTAGGTCCTCTCCATTCAGAAAATTGGTCTCTGCAGTTCCCTCTAGGCCCAGGTATTTTGGCTCTGTTGTTCTCCTTGTGGAAAGAGATTTTTACCAACCCTATTTCTGACAGAGGAATAATGTCCAGAATATATAAAGAACTCAAGAAGTTAAACATCAACAAACTTAGTAATAAAATTTAAAATGGGGTACAAATGTCCTTGTTGTGTACTTGAGCCTCTTTTGGATATATGCCTAGGAGTGGTATAGCTGGGTCTTGAGGTAGCACTATTCCTAATTGTCTGAGAAAGTGCCAGATTGATTTCCATAGTGGTTGTACCAGTTTACGTTCTCACCAGCAATGGAGGAGGGTTTCCCCTTCTCCACAACCTTTCCAGCATGTGTTGTCACTTGAGTTTTTAATCTTAGCCATTCTGATAGTTGTAAGGTGAAATCTCAGAGTTGTTTTGTTTTGCATCTCTCTGATGGCTAAGGACTTTGAGCATTTCTTTAAGTGTTTCTCTGTCATTCTATATTCCTCTATAGAGAATTCTCTGTTTAGCTCCTTAGCCCATGTTTTAATTGGATTGCTTGATTTGTTGCTTTTTAGCCTGAAGATACCTGATAAACCAGTATCAGATGAAAGGTGAGGAGGTCCCCCCCTATCAGTGGACTTGGAAAGGGGCAGGGAGGAGATGAGAGAGGGAGGGTGGGATTGGGAGGAAAAGAGGGACTGGGATACAGCAGGGATACAAAATTAACAAACTGTAACTAATATTAAAAAAAAAACAAAATTGGAAAAAAAGAAAAAAAAAAAAAGAATAGTCTGACCTCAAGATCCAGCTAGACCAGTCCTAGGCATATATTCATACAACATTGAAAAAGAGATACTGAAAATTTTAGTATACTCAATTTTATGAAAAGCTAACTTTTAAGATATTTTAAAGTAAATGAAATAGTATGAATACAGAAATGTTTTGAGAGAACAAATATAATCAAAATATATAAATTTATATTATATTTGAAGGATAGGATTAGAGATGATTAGTGAATTTTTCACAATTTTTACAACAAGTAAAAACTGTTAGACAAAATAATTTGTGCATGTTAAAAATATAGGTTCAGGACTGGCTGCAATGTCCTCCTCTGTATCCTGGCAAGGCTGCTCCTCCTTATTGGGGGGAGGGGGTGGTCAAAGAGCCAGCCACTGAGTTCATGTCAGATAGAGTCCCTGTTCCCCTTACTAGGAAACCCACTTGGATACTGAGCTGCCATGGCAACATCTGAGCAGGGGTTTTAGGTTATATCCATGAATGGATCTTGGCCCTTGGTTGGAATATCAGTCTCAGAAAAGACCCCTGTGCCCAGATTTTTTGGACATTGCAGCCAGCCCTGATGAGACCTAATAAGCTAGGATCAGATGGAATGGGAGGAGGACGTCCCCTATTAGTGGATTTGGAGAGGAGCATGGAAGGAGGTGAGGGAGGGAAGTTGGGATTTGGAGGAAATGGGGGGGTTGCAGTAAATAAAATGTAATTAATGTAAAAAATAAAATTTAATTAAAAAGTATTTGAAAGGAAAAAAAAAGTAGGTTCAATCAGAGTTATTCCACACTTGACATCCTTGCATTTAACTGCTATTTTGTCTTGATAATAAATATATTGAGGTACTCTTTTTAACTTTAGGTTTTTAACATGAAGTATCACCAAATATGCCTAATATGTGCATTTGAGTTGTTATAAAAGGAGGGATTTCTACCCAAATACCTGTACACAAAATGTGTTAGAGTTCATTTTAACTTCAATTAGTAGTAGTAGTTTATTTTAGCAAAATCTTAACTCCACTGAAAATGAAAATGGCAGCAGGCATACCAGAAAAGGACACAAGAAGAAGACAGTAATCTCACTCTAGATGGTTGTAAGCCACCATGGGATTGCTGGGAATTGAAGTCAGGACCTTTAGGTGATCAGTCCTCACTCAGAAAGGCAAATAGGAAGGACTTTGGAAGAGGGAGAAAACAGGGAACAGGACAGGAACCTACCACAGAGGGACTATGAAAGACTCTAACCAGCAGGGTATCAAAGCAGATGCCTAGACTCATAGCCAAACTTTGGGTAGAGTGCAGGGAAGCTTATGAAAGAAGGAAGAGATAGAAAGACCTGGTGGGGACAGGATCTCCACAAGGAGAGCAACAGAACCAAAAAATCTGGGCACAGGGGTCTTTTCTGAGACTGATACTCCAACCAAAGACCATGCATGGAGATATCCTAGAACCCCTGCACAGATGTAGCCCATGAGCAGCTCAGTGTCCAAGTGGATTCCCTAGTAAGTGGAACAGGGACTGTGTCTGACATGAACTCAGTGGATGGCTCTTTGATCACCTCCCCCTGATGGGGAAGCAGCCTTACCAAGGAACAATGCAGTCAGTCCTGAGGAGAGCTGATAGGCTAGGGTCAAGGGAAGGGGAGGATGACCTCTCCTATCAGTGGATTTGGGAAGGGGCACGGGAGAAGATGAGGGAGGAAGGGTGAGATTAAGGAGGGATGAGGGAGGAGGCTACAGCTGAGAAAGTTAATCAAATGTAATTAATAAAAAATAAATTTTTAAAAAATAAAATGAAAATGGTACACAAAATAATCAAAATATACATCATGGGCAGGAGAGAAGCGTCAAATTTTAAGAACACTGGTTGCTCTTCCAAAGTTCCTGAGTTCAATTCCCAGCAACTACATGCAGCTCATAAATATCTATAGTGAGATCTGGTGTCCTCTTCTGGAGCACAGGCATACAAATAGGCAGAATGCTCTATAAATAATAAATATACACCATATTATAGCCACATGCCTTTCAGTATAAGATGAAAATAGAGATGAAGGCTCTAACGAAATTACAGAGATCATTCTTTCATTTAATGGGCTCAAATATGTATGGCATGTCACAAAGCTTGATAAATGCTGAGACAAAATGAATAATAACACTCCTCTTGAATACTTCATGGGCACATGTGCAACCTGACAGGTAACTTCAGTGAAATACGACAAATTCTAGCACAAAGATTCAAGAGCACCATGGAAACACAGGAAGAGTACAAGGTCAGCTTCCGCTTTGAAACAGACAGAAATGTGTACTATATACTGGGAAGAAAAGAATTTATAAAACAGGAGTTCTCAGAAGAAAAAAAAAAGTAGAAGAGAAAGGCTTTCCCAGATAGAGAACAAAGGTGCCCACAGTCCTCCAGTGGGCCAATTGGCACTGCAGCATGAATGCTTCCTTCCTGAGAGTTGCAGGCCCAAACATACTAGTTGCTCCACTCAGAAATACCCAGCATGGAGACTCATAGTTAGAATTATTCTATCAGTTGGTTTTTACCTTCTCTCTTTATAGTTGCCAATGAAAAAAATTTCAAAAATTATCTCACATTTGTGGGCAAATATTTGATAATAGATACAACAACAACAACAACAAAATAACACCATATCTAAGACACAGGGATACGTTGAGAATAAATAATTTTTATTTGAAAAATGTTCCTCCCCTCTCCAAATTTACAAATAAGTCTAATGCATCCAACTAAACTTGTTATTTGATTTTTTGCCCCTTAATCTAACAAAAATCATGTAATTAAAATATGTAAGTAATTTTGACTAGTAATGAAACGTAAAGCTAGTAGTAATCCCTAAATAATCTTAATTTGTGCTATTGAAAAGGACCTGGGTCCCGGTGTTAGAAGACTTGCAGTGAAACAAAACATTACCACTTTTTCAATGTCATTCTGAGTATCTTCATCAAGAGATAACATTCTCAACCTTCAGATCTGACAGTGACTTATGAAAATGTATGTTTTTTTTAACTATGAAAGCTTCCATTAAAAATGAGTTTACAGCTGTTCAGAACTATTTCAGGATATGATTTAAAACCATGCGTGCCTGCCCCTGAAAGCATTGCAGGTGTGGCTGCTGTGACACGTGTGTATCAGTAAGTGACAATGAGGAGAGAGGCTATGTGTAGGCTCAGCATTCTGACCTAGGAACATATGAGTGATTATTAGTCTAATATTCCCCAAAAATAAGCGAGTCTGAGATGACCACCAGTCTGGCACCAGGGGGCTTGGACAGGGAGGCAGCCTGAGGTGACCCCCAGTCCTTGGTTGGGCAGGGCCCAATGGCTTCCAAGACTGTGAGCAAGCCAGAGACTAGAAAAATTTTGCCTGGGTCTGCGGGCTCCTGGTAAGGCCAGGTGAGGAGCAAGGTCAAAATGACCACCACACCAGTGCCATGGGGCCTGGACAGGGAGCCAGCCTGTGGGCTGAGGTAGAGCAGACCAGGCCTGGGACGGCTCCTCATCGTAATGCACGAGTGGGGCATCTCATGACATGAGAGAAGTTGTATAGCATGTTATAATAATTTTAAGAAAAGTTAAAAATTGTACATATTTTGAAATATAATGGCAGCCTGGATATTGTGGTATCAAAGGGCTGACTATATTTCTCCTCCTAGGTGGTATTCAATATTTGACAGAGACATTTTATAAAATTATTAAATCTCTATATCAGAAGACACTTACTTAATAGCACTCCAAGAAAGCTTGTTTCCAAACATGTGGAATTTGCTCTTTCTTTGCTGATATCGTTAATTTTGTCAGCGTAAAACTGTGAAAAGTTAGGAGGTAAAATATTATGGCTGGTTTTGGATAAGGAATGTCTGAAATGATCAGTGGTGACTGTACTGGCAAGCGAACAGGTTTTTTTCTCCCCAAGTACCCTCTTTATGAGCAGCATGTGAGCAGAGATTATATGACACCTACTGGAAAAGTCCCAGATGAGACCTGGTTCAGCCACATTGTGATTCTCTATCTTATTAGGTCCAAATCTGTCAGCACTGATCAAGTTACATTATTATTGCAGTGGTTTGAATAGTTATGGCCCCTAAAATTCATGTCTCTGAATGCTTGGCTCATTGGGAGTGGCACCATTAGGAGGTGTAGCCTCCTTGTTGGAGGAAGTAGGTAACTGTGGAGGCAGGCTTTGAGGTCTTCTATGCCCTGTGTGACATTCTCCTTCTGCTACCTGCGGATGAAGACGTAGAACGCTTGCCTCCTTCAGCACTTTACCACCCTGACCTCTGCTATGTTTTCTACCAGGACAATAATGGATTAAACCTCTGAAACTGTAAGCCATCCCCAATTAAATGCTTTCTTTATAAGAGCTGCCATGGTCATGGTGTCTCTTCATGGTAATAAAGCCACAACTAAGATACTTATGTTAAATAATGTGGAGTTATGCTGGGAAGATAGTTCAGATTGTAAAATATTTTTGAGAGCATATACCTGAGATTGATTCCCTAGAAATGACTTTAAAGGATGAGCAGGAATGGTAACGCATCCTTGACTTATAATCCCTGCTATGTAGAGGCAGATATGGGTGAATCTCTGAGACTCCCTGACTACCCAAGCCAGCTCACTCACGGAGTTCCAAGCCATTGAGGGACCTTGTCTAAAGAAAGAAAGAAAGAAAGAAAGAAAGAAAGAAAGAAAGAAAGAAA